TAAATAATAATTATTACTTTATTATTATTATTTATACCCTATGTAAAGTATAATTTAGTTTTTAAAAATGGTACATATCCAAAAGCAGTAATAATTGAAACTCTCTGTGTGTACATATTTCCAAGAGATTTATGAGAAGGTTAGTAGTTGAACGCATTGTTAGGGTCTAAGGTGAAGGTGCGTGATCTCAGCAGGGCTGAGGGACCATTTTTTCAGAGTTGATGGGAGCTTTTGTGGGACAGCCACCTTCCCAAGGGGGGGGGGCTTCTTGACATAATCAATTGCATACGGTGGTTATGCAATGTAAAGATTACCACAATATATTTAACAAAAAGAGAGCCCTTTCCACCCTCTAGTGGTCATTAAAAAAAAGTATATTAGTGTATAGGTGCCAAGGCATCCCTGGAAACATGGAAGAATCCGAAAACATGAAGGAATGGGGGCTGATAATCTCATGGGTTTCTTTGGTGGCTTTCTTTTTCTTTTTCTTTTTCTTTTTCTTTTTGGTAAAAATAGTGTAAAGGCTGCATGTTTTCCACTAACAGTCTAAGGATTAAAGTGTTGCTGCACAAGATTGTCTTGGCCCAACATCTGTAATCAAAGTAGGTGATGAAAACCACAGTACAGTACTCGTATTGTCAGTCATTGAGGGTTATAACATCACAATGTTTAGAGCAACGACTGGCATTACATTCATAATCCTAACCCTGTGCATTTTTCAGTTTGATATTTCTGGCCTTCACTTTTAAGAAACCATTTTCCCACCATTTCTTCTTTGGAATCCTGGTGCTTATCTATCTATCCATTGTTCTTAATAGTTACAAAAGGAAGTGTCCGATTACCTCCTCTGCTGACAATTACCACCCTCCCCACTTTCACTCTAGCAGGCTGGAGACTGTTTTGAATTTTTGTTTTCCGTCTGTTCATTTCTAGCTTTAAGGTTCTTCATCTTACTTTACCAACAGGCCCAATAAGATGTAAACATGAAGATGTATGCAGTTACATGTGAGCATACACAGGGAATCAGGAGTGGGAAAGATTTTTAAGACAATCAAACTTGATTTCCCAATTTCCATAGCTTTGAGAAGGACAGTTAGTGTCTCTCACATCTGTATCCATTCTCACCAAAGAACTCAGGACAGGAAAGGTGGAAATATTCCAGTTTAACCTTAGAACATTCCTATAAAGCCAGTTAGGCTAAGAGAGTTATTCAGTTTTAGAGTGACTGCCCAATGAGCTTCAAAGCCAAGTGGTGAGGCTGAGAATTAACAAACCACTGCACGTCCTCCCTAAATAATTTATAATTTTGAATAGAAAATACAAGGTTCACATTTTCAGAACTGTCCAAAAGCTAGAGATAGTTTGTAGATAATATATTAAAGGATCCCCTGAAAACCCTTATACCTGTTACGAGCAAATTCATAAAATCAATAAGCCTCTGGCAGGCAGGAAGATGGTCTGTCCGGTATCTTCTTCAACTGAAGCAAAGTAAATCTATTATTATTGCTTTTGCAGTATTAGTAGTAATTAGAGATGGGGATATTGGTATATGTATACAAATACAAATTTCCCCATCCCAGGTGTACCTTATGCGGGTCCAAGCCCTCAGAACCGGCCTGTCCACTCACACACCACCACGCTACCAGCCTCCTGGCTCTTCTCACCAAACGTGGAAGTAGCTCCGCCATCTCCCTGCTTGGTTGCCCCCAGCCTGGGCCTGACCCGCATTAGGTACCCCTGGGATGGGGATATTTGTATTAATTTACAAATAAGAATATCCCATCTCTAGTAGTAATAGAAGATGATTCCTCAACATTTCCAGGCCAGCTTCCAGGTTTGCTGTTTAACAAACTGTCATTTTGATCACCCAACAGAAATTAATCCAAAATTCAGCAGGTCTTTTCAAAATATTTATTCAGAGACATCAAATCAAGACTCCATTGAAAGACACACAAAATTAAGATTATTTCAAGACAGCGCACAACAGAAATCCATGTGGCTCTTATTTTTCATTTCCATTGATTTCTTCAGTTGATGTCCACTGACAGGAGAAGCTCAGCAAGTACTCAATTTAAGCATTGAGGTATTTCGCATGGTGCCTGATATGGTCATTAATGAACGTTGCTATAAAGTAGTAACTGTGATCGTAGCCCTGAGGAGAAGAAAAAAACATTCAGTTTTGGAAGCTAAGCTGGTTCCTGCTTTTTGGTACCTCAAATAGTTCAAACAGTACTGTTCAAGAAAGAAAGACTACAAAAGAATCCTATGGGGCTACTAGCATCAGATAGAAAAATATTTCTGTTAACCTGTGAAGACTGTCCTACATTCACATCCCTGTTAAAATGAAGAATGTATTGTCTTCCATGACGGAAAACCTTGTCACAACAACTTGAGGAAGCTTGAGAGGTGCTCCTGGATTCATCTCTGAGTCTGGACACCCAGGTTTCAGCAGTGGCAGGAAATGCATTTGCACACTTAAAACTAGTGCATGCGCTGCACTTATTCCTAGAGAGGTCTGATCTGGCCATGCTGACACATAGTTCAGTTAGATCCCGGCTGGATTACTGTAATGCACTATATGGGGGACTGCCTTTGGAAAGTGCCAGAAAGTTTTGGCAGATCCAAAATGTGGCACTGCTACGTGGAGCTGGTTACAGGGATCACATAACACCCCCTTGTGTTATAGCAGCTCTACTGTCTGCTGAGCCATTCATGGGCAGAATTCAAAGTGCTGGTTCTACCCTATAAAGCCCTAAATGGCATGGGCCCAAGCTATCTCAAATACCGTATCCCCCATTATGAGCTGGCTCAGGTGTTAAAATCAACTCAGTCCTGTCAACTTCACAGGTGTGTTTGGTGGGGACACAGGAGTGGGCTTTCTTTGTTGCTGCAAGGTTACAATATTTTAAATATTCGATAAATCACTCTATTTTGGTGCAGTTCTAGCATATGTAATCATTAGGATTGAACCAAAGTAGATGGCTTAAGTTATCTGCTAAGCTGGTTCATGGTCTTGGGAAACTGAAAGCTTCCTCCCACTTCCCTGCGGTGGGGAAGAAAAAAGAATCAAACCTGTGTGTGTGTGTGTTTTAAAAGCCTTTGTAATGCAGTGCTGATGCACTATACCACTTAGAGGAAAAAAATTAAAAACTGAAAGTTTCCTCCCACTTCCCTGTGAAGGAGAAGAAAAAAATAAGCTGTTATTCTCTGAAAGCTTCCTCCCACTTCCCTGTGGAGGGGGAAAAAATAAGCTGTTATTTTTTTTAAAAAAAGTCTTTGTAAGGCAGTGCTGATGCACTACACCACTTAAGAGAAAAAAACTTCCTCCCACTCCCTCATGGAGGAGATAAAAGGGGATAAGAAAGGGATCTTTCCATGGTTTCCCCCCTTTCCCTCTTTCTATTTAAAGGAAAGGAACAGCTAAATAGCATTGCTTGAGGTGCTGTGTGGTTTCCTGACCCGAAACCATCTAATTCTTGCTCGTGAATGCAAGAATCACAACAAATAGCATACCTCTGTACAAATTTAAGCAACCTAATTTTGCCCAATCTAGCCAGATCTAACTTGGTCATCTAGCCACACTATCAGTGACTTTGCATGGTCATTCAGTGACACTATCTGGAGATGAAGCAGGAGGTTAAGCACGGTCTCCCAAACTAAATTAAGATAATCTATCAAGAAGAATCCTGGTCTTTCTGTGCCATTTTTTAACAGCAGTATTGCAGAGCATGTGGCCCTCCAAATGTACTTGGACTGTAATTCCTGTCAACTCTTGGCTTGCATTTGAGCCACAGAACTGATGGAAGTTTACAGATTTCTTGCTCAAGCAAGAGGCAGTGGTTTCTTTTATTGTTGCTCCAGGGAAGGAGAATATTCTCCTTTGCAAAGCTTTTCCAGTTCTTAAAGAGCTTTTTAGTTTTTAAAAGTTTTTGGAATGTTGTTTCTAAATGTTAAAATGATGTTTACATTTTTTTAATTTTCTTTGAGTTGTTTCAAGATTTGGGGCGACGGTAAAAAGGAATTATATAACTACATCTTAGTAAAACTGCCTTGTGGCACAGTGGTTAAAACGCTGTACTGTACAAAACACTGTTCATGTCCTGGGTTTAATCCCAGATAGCCAGCTCAAGGATCACTCAACCTTCCATCCTTCTGAAGTTGGTAAATTGAGTATCCAGCTATTGGGGGAGCGGTCAAGGTGTAGACTGAATAATTACATTGTAAACCACTTAGAGAGTGCTCAAAGCACTATGGGGGCGATATATAAGCAGCATCAATTATTATTATTATTATTATTATTATTATTATTATTATTATTATTATTATTATTATTATTATTATTATTATTATTATTATTATTATTATTATTATTATTAT